ATCAACCTCCGATCCATTAAGACCAAATCCCCACAACTCCAAGCGCTGAATATACGGTAGTAGTTTTAAATTTCTTTTCCAGTATCCCTATATGGCCTATATAGCCCCAACATACTATAGTAGTAAGCCTAAACCCTGAACCCTAAGCCCTAAGTAAGACCTTTGCCAGCAGGAGGCCAGATGGACGAAGCTCCCATGCAAAACCACGAATCAAGGGAAAGACTGAATCGCGGTTTACCGTTCAGATTTTAGGGATAGACCAAAACAATTCGGATCCTTATGATAAGACTGCAGAGAAGGACCCCCACCTGCCTTGTATGGGACGTCGACGTCGACCAGTTGCAAAAAAAGGTTGTTTATGTCCCGAGAAAAGCTATCCTCAACTCGTCTGCAGTGGGCCCCGAGAGGAGCCACGCTCAAAAGATCAGTTGCGTCGCCTGAGTGCCTTCGGCTTGAGAAGTCATTGGGAGTTTCGCAAAACAAGCCTCGCAGATTCCCAATTGGGCATCCCATCGTCCCTACCCCATGTACCGCAGGGTCCCTTGCCCTCCGGCAATTTTGAGAAGCCCCCAGTTGCTGGGAGTTGAGGATCTGCATGGTCTAGGGTTCAGCGGTTTCCAGAACATGTGCTAGTTGTAAATCTTTTTTGGGCGGTGTGTGTTTGCAGAGTAGTGCTTGGCTGTCCACATACAACACAATCTTGCCCGAAAAGTCCATGCCAGCCGTATACAGAACTCGAATGTTTCCGCGTGCAGTACCTTCGGCGCGATCTGTTTTGGTTTCGGTGGTTATGCTCTACTCAATCTGGGCAACTGAGAAAGTACACAGGTCATTTTAAGATTCCTTGACTTTGCGTGGTGTTATAGAAGAGGAGGCACTACCGATGCATAGCGCGGAGATTGCTCAGATGATGGACCGAAAGAAATGGGCCCCATACTTCTGTATTGCTGCATATCCTGCATTTCACCGCGAGGTGGAGTAACCTAAATCTGGACGCCTCTTCAATCTCAAAATCCGCAACAAGGCACGACAGCTACAACCAATTGGGCTAACTCAAAATGAGGTCGTACCCATATGGCCACTTCCAAAATACTCTAAACCCTACACATCCCTGCATCTCCATTGTATAATCCCTGTACAACCAATAATACAACAGCCCTCAACCATGTGATCATGTCCTGGATCAGACCTCAAGGGTTTTGCAATTCCCAATGTACATTTCAGCAAAACACAGCGAACCCCACATTGGAGCCCTTTTACGTTTAGGATTGCTGGGCGCCTGTTGAAGTTGCATGTTAACTGGTGAGGTGTATGGGTTCTGCAAAGAGTACACGGGAATCGTCCTTAAGATCATCTGAATTTCGGTCCTTAACAACCCTTTTCTTGTGCCTTGCTTCCTTCCTACAATCCTGAGATGTGGCTATACCATCTTTGACAGAACTAAAGAAAGCGCGTTGTCTTCCCTGTATATCCCGAGGGTTCCGGTTTCTGGTTGTTGTTGTTGTTGTTGTTGTTGTTGAGGAACTTAAATTAAGTTACAATAGCCTGCGTGTATAGTGAGCAATAGGGCATGCGTCATTAGTGTTACCCAGCTTTTGGAGAAACTGAGACTCCACGTCGGCACCGCTGAAGATGCCCCGTGTGGAGGGCGACGTGGGCCAAGAGGAGGTGGTCGCCGAAATGAGAGTTGTCAGCAACCAGGGGTTCCCTTAAGGGGGTTATAAGGGTGATATAGGCACGTATTACGGTGTAAAGGGTTCCCTTTATGAGGTTAGAAGCTATTACTAGGGACCTATTACGGTATAAGGGTTTCAGGGTTTCTCAGAAACTTCCGAAGAGCACCGCTACGGTGGATGGAAGGAGTCCTGCACCATATGCAATCGGAGCTCTAGAATGCGAAAACGCACAAAGGAAAGACTGGGTTGCTGTTAAGG